TGATATCGACGACCCCGTTTTCAGTTTTACGCGTTTCAAATATAAGGCGATTCACAAGGACTGCCACCTCCATGTATAACAAAAATCAGCAATATTTTATAAATCACTTGGAAACCTTTTTCCGGTCTTCTGGTCGCTAGCGTAGTGAAATAAATAAATAAATAAATAAATAAATAAAGATACTTGCCGATGTTATCGATGATTTGTATACTGAGCGTTAAATACATGATCGTTGTGGTTCCCGACAACAAGTTCTGTTGACAGAGGGCAATTGTTAGCAAGGTCATATTACCAACAGAAATAAATCAACCTAGGAGATTATTACACAGTAGCGGTAATGCGTCTAAATGTATCCTGTTCGAGTTCCGGACATGAATCTTCTATCTCAACTGAATATTTATGAGGTTTCCTCACTCCCTCCAGATAAGAGTCGAAATGTTTCTTTAAACAAGTCGCAATTACTTTCGATGGTAACTCTTTCCACATAATAACATCTCCTCAGACGAATCTAACTAATTTAGGTTATTTTGTAGCTAAATAATGCATGAATAAACGAACATACTCCCCACCATATGACTGAAGTATTGAACTGTGTTACTATGGAAAGTGAACAGTTTCAAACAAACTGCTGTTGAATCAACGTCATATATTTTAAGCATCGTACTCACTCGATTAAACTTTCAATCCCAAAGACGATATACATTCCTATCTTTCTGTCGTTTCTTGTTATTTGAGTCTTTCAGACGGTTCAACAAGAGTGGAAAGGCGTACTCCAACCTCATCTCATCTCTGGCTTTACAAAATAGTGTGGGTCTTGGTCGCCTCTTTCGGTGGTTTCTTGATCTATTTAGACATTTGATAGGATTCCTTGGACGAGAGGAACTCCAATCTAGATTCAGAAATTGTTTTCCTTGTATCCAGTTAAATGTACATACCAGAATATCGGAAGTTGTAAATCCTAAACTGAAGTCCGTATTTTGTGAGTCGTTGTCTACTATTTGTTGTACGATAAGACATTTATGAGTAAATCGATAAAGATCGATTTGAGTTACAGGTAGAGGCTCCATGTGACCTACATTAAACAGATTCTATTGAAATCCATTCTCTAGTTCTGTAGATGAAAAGTGTGGTCGGGCGGACGGACAGACTGAACAGGACAGACCCTTTGTGTATTCAGTTCATGGGTCTAGTGCAAGGAACGCGTAAAAGTTGTAGAGGGAGACCGGCCTTTAAATATTCGATATCAACAACTTTAAGTGTCGCTTACCCATTATAGTGCATATGCCATGAACTACTATGTCCAGCAGAGTGGGCAGTGGAATATGTACGAGTATAAAAGATGGGATTAGGATCAGACGGCATAAAACGAACCAAGAACAGGGAAAGGACACAAAATGACAATGAAGGATCGAGTTTGTTTGACGGTTTTTCCAATAAGAAGGAACCGTGGTTGGTTGTAAGGCAGAAAACCATTTCGGAAGGGCTTAGAGCAGTTTAAACCTTCTTTTAGCTAATTTCTTTCTACGTTTTCTGTATTCGAACAGAAATACTTTAAAGATACAGTCGGCTTTTTTCTGTAACTGATGACTTGAACAATAATTAGCTAGGGGAGGAGCGTTTATGTTAAGTGTTAACCCGGCTAACACGGCTAACATGATACGTATACAACAAATTAAAGCAAAACCTGCAAGTGAATGCTACTTAAAACTACAGTGCATCGGCTGCAATAACTGGATACGGCTGCAAGAATTTAAAATTTCCATTCGTTTCGTCATTTTGTGCGTGAAGAGATTAGTTTGTACTAGTTTGGTTTGCGTCTTATATGGCATATCCTGTACAACAGTCCTATCAAAGTTTTAGTTTCCTGAGCGACGTCGTCCCATGAGATTCTTGAGGTCAAAGTTTAATACGCTCTTCTACATACTCTGTATACCCCACTGTTCTTGAGTCAATGCGCAGTTGCATCGATTAAAATTACCATCAGTATCTGTATAGGCCTACATTAAACCAACGGGTTTCAAAATGATCACATTTATTTCATTCTTGTTTAGTTTATTCTATCTTCCAGCGAAATGTTGTAATTGAATATGACACCTGAAGATAGTTCTTTTAGAACTGAAACATGTCGTGTAAAAAGTGATGATCTAATGTAAATCGAACATTTCGATAGAGAACATCATTTAATATATTTTAAATATTTAAATGTTAATTATAGTAATATTTTAATATTTAATAGGAATTTTATTGTGATTAGACTGACAAGATTTAAACAAATATATATTTATCACAATATGACG